AAGGGGGCATTACGATTAGCATGTATAATGTGGGGTGGGGGTCCGGGGAGGGCTGTGCAGCACAGAGAAGACAAGTAGTGATTCTACAGCATCTTATTACGCTGATGGACAGTGACTATAATGGGGTTTGTCAGGGGGACTTGGTGCTGGGGGGAGTCTAGTAAACATAATGTTCCTCATGTAATTGTAGATTAAGTATACCAAAAAAAAAATCCATGAATGCAGTGAATCTACTCTCATTATCACTATGATTGTTACACATAAAGTCATTCCTTAATTGTTCCTGACCTAAAATTTTGAGCTCCTACTGTTCCATTTCAAGATGTGTATAAATAGTATTAAAAATGCTTCCCAAATATATCCTTAGAAAAAGGAAAACATTAAAGTTACATATAATTTTTTAAAAACTGTATCTTTTATTGACAGTTGGATCTTGGTTTTCAAATCCAGTCTAATATTTTTTTTACTGGAGTGCTTAATACATTCACATTTATTACTTTTATTTACTTGGAACTCTCTCTGCCATTTGGATATTTGTTCTCAATACGTCCCTGTATGTTCTGTTCCTCTCTTCCTCCTCTACTGCCTTCTTTTGTAGTAAGTAGATATTTTCTAATGCATCATTTTTATTCTTTTGTTGATTTTTCTGTTTTTATTTTTGTTATCTTCTTAGTAGTTCTTTAAGTCTGAAGCATTTATGGGGGCAAAATTGGCATCAGGAGACCAGTGAGAGTTATCACGTAGATGCAGACTGCGACTGCCCGTGCTCTCTCCTGCCTGCCAGAGCCCCTGGCTTCCGGAAGCCTATCTGCTCTGGCCTTCCTCTCCAGGGATTGATTTTTACCTTGAGGTCCCAATTCGGTCTGTTGCCCTGGCCCCTGACTTCAATCAGAACTTTTGACCTTGGCTTCTTTTCCAAACACTGACTGATCCCAAGGCTTTCTGATCTTTGAGCAGCCCTATTCATCTGCCAGAAGTCAATGAGTAAGCTTTTCTAGGTGTTCAAAGCAGGAATCTGAATCAGATGATCTTGAAAGTTTCTTTCGAACTATTGTTCCACAATAGCCTTAAAATAGCACCGGAAACATTTCTCAGCTTCTACTGCTCCCATGCATGGTCTCATTAAATCTCTACAAAGGATCAGTTGTGTGCTTTAAATGCCTTTAGTATTATTGAAATTGTAACCCTTTTATGATATGATTATTTATTGTTAGATATTTGTCTTATTAGACTGCAGAATATCTTAAATATGTTTTCTGATAGATCTAGGGCAGCAAATCCCTTCTGGATATTTTTCTCTGAAATTACGGTGAAAGAAGTAAACAGCTGTCAGGAGTAGGAAAACTAAACCATTAGATTGCTGACTCAGTGCCCCGGAAGTTACTGTATGTCCTAGAATGCAAGTCACACGCCCTGACATTCAAGCACTCATTTTCTTTTTTGAGGACTGACATAAATTAGTTGTGGAGGTTGAAAAGAAAATGGAGAATTACTGGAAAATACAAATTTATGTACAAGTAACAACAAGCATTCTAGTTGTATAGGCATATTCAAACATAAAGGTAATACTCAAAATATGATTAACACCTCATTTATGATTTGGAAAGCCTATTCTTATCAATGGTTCTCTTTATCCATTATAGCTCCTGGATTGCATATTTCACTGTTGCTTGGTCTCCTTTTCCCCCACAAGACCTTATGAAACAGTTATAATGAAAACAACATTTTACAAATATAAAACCAATGTTTTTTATCCTTAAGCCATATTTCATTCCAATATCACTCATCTCAACATAGAGCCAAGAAAGAGGCTTATTGGGCAGAGAGCCTCTATGGCAAGATGCTAGACCTGAAATTCAGGCTGTGTGGATTTGGTCTGTTCCTTTACTTGCCATTTAAATGGCCTAGACCTGACTTGCAGCTTAAACCACCTCCTAAATTGAAAAGAGAATAGAGTTTTTCCATTTGTCTCTTTTGGACATGGGATTTGCTTTAGTCTGGTAGAAAGCAGCTCTCATAGAGATGTTAAAGGAAACTTTATTTCTCCCCCTGGAAGGATGCAGGTGGATGAAGAGCAAGAAGGGTCTGGCCAGGTGGTCAGCCTGATGCAGGTGCTGAGCATCCCTCATGAAGTTCCAGCAGGAAGAGGTACAGAATGCATGGGCTTTCCAAGAAGCTGCTAAGTGGGGTCCCCTGAGCCAACATAGGGGATCCAGGCCTACTTAAGAGCAGCGAGCAGAGTGGTCAGCCAGAGTTTTCCAATCCCCACCAGCATGGTCCTGAGCTGAGAACCACTGGGCTGGCCCTAAGTCTGTGGGGGGTGAGGACAGGCTGCAGAGAGTCCAGAGGGGTTGCATGGAGGACTAAGGACTGTGGGCTTTTATATGGGTCTCAGCCAGTGAGATGGAAAAGAAGCTCGGGGGAGAAAAATCAGGAGTCATGATTCACAGGGTTGGTTCCTGAACCTTGAGGTCCCACCATGAATCCACTATTCCTCGGTCTCAGCTCAGAAGCCTGCAGGGAGCCCAGCATCCAGGCAGCCAAGGAAATCACTGGGACCCAGAGGAAGACCACTGTGCCCAAGGCAGATGGGAACTGGGCAGTGGCAGGGACTGCTTAAAGAATTGTGTGCATCTAAGATTTAAACCAGATGGGCCATCGCGTTGGGTTCTGTTGGTTTGTTTGCTTTGCTTTCTTGCTGGTAATAGAAGTACTTGAGGAAGGCAAGATATTATGTAAACAAAATAAGAAATGACGTTTTCTCTGCACATTCAAATTGTGAGAAGCATCAGTGCAGATAGGTTACAGGTTGATAGGAAGTGTACACGCCCATGTGCACATTCACACACACTCGCTGTAGCAGAGGTACAGAACTTAACAGAAGAGAGCATCAAAGGAGAGCAAAGTAGACACAATCTCCTCTGCCTGGCTTTCTTCTGCCCACAGTTCCTTCCAGGGCTCCCAGTTGCCGGTGACCCTCTTCCTGCAAGAGGAATTCTGCCAAATTCTTGCTAACTCTTCTAAAGCACTGTTTCAGAAGAACTTCCAAGAACCATTTTAAGGGAACATTCACCAACATAGAGAGCTCGTAGTTCCAGAAACAAATGCAACATCAGGTCAGACAACTCTCATCTGGAGAAAGAAAGCATTTTTGTGCCTGGTGGTCCTGAACAATTGCCCCGCTTTCCAGCACTCCAGGAAGTGTTAGGGAAATGTTCAGCCCCTCCAGAATTAACATTCTCTTATGTACAGATGATTATGAGTGTTATGTATGCATTACTTTACTTATAAAATAAATTTTTAAAAATCAGATTAATGTTGTACCTGTCTTAGAGTTGCTGGAATGTAGCAACCAATAATCGTGTCTCCTTCAGGGCACTGCACTGTGCTAAGGATAGACCTGGAGGCTTGGCATGAAACTGCTTCCCTGGGGAGCTGGAGACTTTTCCCATCTTCCTAACAGTCCCCAAGACTAAGCCAGGATGAGCAAATCTTTCCCAGGCAGAATCACAGTGACCCTGTCAAACCCTTTCAGGAGTTTCCCAACTCTCAAACTTAATATGGAAGTTCAAGTACAATATTTTCCTTATGTTGTATTGAATATTCTTATCACAATATCTATTGTACCATCTTTTTTTTTAAACTAGTCTCTGAACTAATAGTTGTGAAGGCCGCTTTTCTACCACACCAAGTTCATTTGGGTTTTCTTATTTTCATGAGTCTCTTGCTGCACCATTCTTTTCTAACACTACCCTTTATCACTCCTTTATTTCCCTGTTTTATTTCTCACCTCAACTGAGTTACCACAAGATCTCTAATATGCTCATTGTAACATTTGATACTAAATGGGATCAGAGATCAGAATCTGTTTGACCTCAGGAAAGCTTTCTGTGGCTGGCAAATCTAAGACTGTGGGGCTCTCCTTTTATGGAAGGAGAATGCGGTGGAGTTTGCTAACCCCAGAAGCCTTGAAATTGCTTATGTTTGCACTGTTTTGGGAGTAAGATGAGTGCCATCAGAGCACTGCAGAGTATCACCTCAAAGGGGACATCTGAAACTTCCTTCTCTGATTTTTTCATTGAGACTGTTGATAAATCCAGACTTTAGAAAAAAGACTTTCTGAAGTCTTTCCTATTGAGCTCATCCTCTGCTGAGCAAATGGCCATGACTGTCAAGCTTTGGTACCACACATGGTGCACTAGACAGAAGGGCCTCTCTTCCCACTGGAAAATTCCAAAGGCAGCCAAAATTCTAAAATGATGAACTAACACACATGGATAGTTCCCATGATATAGTTCCAGACTATAAATTCAAAAAGACATTCAAAGAAATTCAAAAGGATGTTTCAAACATTGACTGAGGCTTTGGGTTTGGGGCAACATGTGTCTCCACTGGTGTCAGTCAGGTATCTTCAAGGGGGCTCTCTTGGTATTCTGGATGAGACACTGCTTTGCTTAGAACTCTCCCACACATTTTCAGAAATCAAGCATCCTGGGCCTCCAGGCACCAAAGAGCAGTAGGGTTGCAGTGTTATCATGGCAACCAATACCTTCTGTACACATCTGAATGCCCCGACAGAGAGAGTACTTCCTCCAGGTGAGATCCACCTGTTCTAGCTGGGAAGTATGAATGAATGATTGCAGAGCACGTTGTTTAGTCAGAATTTCATGTTTGTAATCAGTTCTTTAGGTCAAAAGCTGCATTTTTACACTTTCAGTGAATTAGTAGAAGTAGTAGGTCCAACTGGAATCATGCTAGTCTGCATTTTGTTAGCCCTCAGTTGATTGGAGCCTCTCCACATGGAGTGTGGTCCTCAGACCAGCATCACCAATATCACCTGAAAATTGGGTAGAAATACAAAATCTGCTGAATAAAAACTTCTTAATCCAAATGCACATTTGAGACACAGTGCTTCAGAGAAAAGCCTGGACAATCTTATAAAAGCTTCTTATAGTTAGACTTTCCCTTTTAATGGCACAAATGATTTAGATCCTAACCCCCAATGGTATTAACCCTCCGTTTTGTACTTTCCCATTGTAATGAAAGTAGAAACTTTTCCTCCAAGGAACCATCATATTCTTCCCCAACTTGGATTCCAGCAACATCCACCAAACTATTTTCTAATTATGAGAAAACCAGAGTATCAATGATCTTAATTATTCTTATTTCAGTCTATGATGGCCTAATACAGTGTTTCGCTGGGCCTGGACTTGTGCCAGATTGGCTTATATTTAAAGATAAGAGCTGAACTTACTTGCTTAAAAGAGACCCTGCCTGGTGTGGTCTGATTTTCCCACCTTTCGCTGTTGTTATTTTATTTTTAACCAGGCCTTTTCCTTAGTCTAAAGAAAACGTTACTATACATTCACACACCCCTATTTTATGTTATCTGTAGCAATAAAAATCCAAAAGGCCCAAGACCACAAACATTCAGCGGGAGCAGATGAATAGGGGATTGTGTCTCTGTGTGGCCAGCAGGGCTCTTGCATAAAGGGCCACTTGTGCCAGCCCTGTTCACGATCAGCTGACTCTTCTGGACACTATGAGCATCAGTAGTTCTTGAGCCTGCCTGCTCCTGTCTGCAACTGGCTCAACAGTGAACTCACACCAATCCAATGTCCAAAGACACCCTGGATACAAGTCTCCCTGGGCCCAAGTGCACATCACGTCTCTGTTGATTATGCCCACAGAACTCACACTTGCCTGGAGATTAGCAAACATTCTGTAGATTGTCAGCAAAGATGATGATGGGCAATCCCAGCAGATTTAACTTCATTTGTCCTTTTTTCTTTCAAATGTCAGCTTTTAGGTTCTTTGCAAAGAGATTTTTAGGCATATTTAGATGATTTATGGGTTTTTTGGAAAGGGCGTTTTTTTTGTGTGTGTGGTAGAATACATGTAACAAAATTTGCCATTTTAACAGTTTTAAAGTGAACAATCCAGGGCATTTAGTACCTTTATAGCGTTGTACAACCATCGCCACTATCTATCTCAGAATCACTTTTTAAAAAGTTTCTGAAATTCTGATAGTCTTCTATTTTCTATTATGTATTTAGGAGAGCTATGTTTTTCTCACTTTTTTCTGTCTACTCAAATATTTGCTTTATCTAATTTGAAGATCTCATGCTATTTATGCATTAATGATGAAAGTTGAATGTAGAGAAATATCTGGAACCATCTTCAAACTAAATGTAGGCAAAGGACTATTTCTGATTTACTAATAGTGCACATTAGTTCTTTATTATTACATATACACATTGTCTTTCCTATATACAGCCTTTTTTCTAAGCCTGGAAAAAATCCAAGCAAGTACAATACAAACAGAAGAGGAAAGTCATTAATTACATATGTTTATACTTCAAAAATTCAAAGCAACTGTCCCACTTATTTTAATGTTTTAAAAAACATTCTACAACAACAAATATTTTTAAAGTCCTTACTGCATGGTGAGATAAATACTTTGCTCTTTTTATATATCCTCAAATTTGTTTCTATTTATAAAATAAATGCACTCTCATGCACACACATTTGAAAGTTTTCTGACTTTATTAGGAGGCTAGTACTTGGAGGCAAAAGACCAAAATATTGGCACCAAAAAAATTTTGTCAGGAAAATTTGGGGTTGTTGTCTTAATAACATAAGACATGATTAAGGCTGTTTGTGACCCCTTGTTGAGGGTTGATAAGGCCATTATTAAATTCACATTCCTTTTATTGGTCATAACTTTTCATTATTCTTATCTTTTTATAGCCACCTTCCCTGACTAATAAAAACTTCCCCTAATTTTGGGTCTGAGGCCCCTTCTTACATAAGCACCATCCACAGGGAGAAATGACTCTTCAAACAGTCATACACATTTGCTTCCTGTTTTTCATTTTTTCATTTTGACACGCAAGATATCGACTGGAATTTTTTGTATCTGGGCAATTTCCTTTTAATATTCTAAAATGTGCCATTAAACTTTTTTTTCCCTCAGAATCTGTGTTATTGCTCTCCACTTGTGTCGCCCACTGAATATCAACCCTAGAAGATGCTACGTTTAGGTAACTATTTTGGTAAACAGAAAATAAGTTTTGAAAAGGGAAAGGCAAGATAAATTTCAAGCACTGGATTCCCACAAGATCAAACTGAGTGGTTAATTGCATCGTCAGATATCTTAAAACTTTCAATAATCTATTACACACTTTCCTCTCTTCTTAAATACACTATGCTGGGCAAAAATTCCATGAGTTATGTGTTATACACATAAACACATGTTTCTGGAAACTATGACCTGGGATACAGAAGTAATGAAGTGGGGAGATGTTGAGTCTTGAATCAAGAAAACTATCTTAAAATATCTAAGCCTAAAGTCTGAATTTAAAATCTTAAAATATCTAACTCAGAATATGGCCAGTCATATTCAGAAGTGAGTAGGTTTCCTGTGAATGGCGCCAGAGGGTAGATATACGACTGCAGGAGGAATCACAGACAGGCAGTTCGAGTTTCACAAATGGAAGACTTCTCTAGAATTCACAGTTGTTCAACAACGGAACAGAAAATCTTCTGAGGTGGGTTGTCTCTCAAATGCTCGAGCAAACCCAGAGAGGAATATTGTAAAAGCAGTCTTGTGTAGATGAGTTACTGCCTTAACTTCCTTCTGACATACTTGGTTTGAGAGACAGCTAAGGAGAGAGCTTGAATGTCAGGTTTATGGCTGGATGGTGAAATGGAGACAGCCTCGGACAGGATTTGGATTCGTGATGACTTTGCTTCCATCTCTGAGGTAGGTTATTTATAAAGATAGTCACACCAATCTGTCCCATCCTGAATGCTCTGTTGCAATGTGACTTTGCCAAAAAGAGATGAAATCTTGTTTCTCTGTCCTTGAATCTAAACAGAGACAGCCCAGTGACTGTCTCTGACCCAAAGAATGCAGTGCAAATAATGCTGGGTGACTTCTTGGCCTTAAGAGGCCTTTGGCTTCTGTTTATATCTTCTTGGAAGCCAACTGCCATGTGTAAGAGGCCAGGCTACTCTGTTGAAGAGGCCACATGGAGAGAAAGAAGTCCTGGAAGACAAGAACCAAGGTGCCCGAGCTGGCAGCCAGCACCAGCTGGCAGACAGCTTGGATCTCCAAACTTATCTGCCCTGGCCGACGGCCCCTCTGGAGCTGAGATGAGGTGTTTCAACCAACTCCTGCCCAAATTCTTGACCTACAGAATCAGGAGCAATACAATGGATATTGATTTATACCACTAATTGCCAAGCTGGCTGACTTATTACATAGCTGTTGATGAGTGAAACAGACTTGGTATCTGGAAGTGCGGTGCTAGCGTAACAAAAACCTACATGTGTCATTGGTTTTGATACTGGGTGGCAACAAAGGCTGAAAGCTCAGCAAAGAAACTGTTCCAAAGCAGCCTGGAATAGCACTGAGAAAATTGCCATCGAAGGCTCAAAAAAAGGTGAGCTGTGTTATACAGTGGTGGAATTTTTGGCCACACTATCACCTGCAGTATTGTGGAAGATAGCAAATGCAGCTAAAGATTGGCTGATTTCAGGAAATGAGGATCTCACCTGTCAAGTTGATGTACAACTGCCCCAGCCCCAGAGCTGCTTGGGTTCATCGCCTTTTCTCACCTCCAAGGCCTCCAATCAAGTGTTCTGAACTTGCTGATCTGGATAAAGAGATTTCCAGAGAAAATAATCAAAGTGCAATAGACATCTCTTAGCTATATGATAAAATACAGGAAGAGAGGGAAAAAGAAATTTAGAGAGCCCAGGACAGCCTCATTGGCCAACAAAACATTCCCAAAGTAAGAATTGGTCTCAGAGTAAAGATTAAATCAAAAGTTTGACTGTAAGCACCCTTCTTAAAACCTCTGTTAGATTTAAGGCAGCACATAGTAGACCTTCTCAACTAGACAACTGGATTTCTGACATTAAGGGCATATTTTCCCACAGCAGCTTCACATGTGACCCACAGTAAAAAAAAGCCCATCTTAAGGAAGGATTACGGGTGTAGTTTTTTTTGTCATGGTTCGATCCCCAATAAGATTCATAGGAATCCCAGAATATTTTTAAGACAATTAAATATGCTAGAGCACAACTAGTTTTAACTAAAAGGAGCAGAGACAGTTCAAAATGAAAAAGAATTCTCTAGGCCTCCAATTTTTCATGGGCAGGAAGCGGGTTGAGAGAGCAGCTTCTACTGAAAATGAAGAACAATTAAGAAGGCAGAGCAAAGTGCACAGAGGATTGATTCAAAGCCTCAAAAAAAATAATGACCAGATTCTGGGAAGACAGTGAAGTAGACAGAGCCTGAATCCACTTTCTCTCACCTATACCCTGAATCTACAACTACATACAGAGAATTTCACCCTGCAGAAGAACAAAGACCAAAGCAAATATCTTCTATACAATGAAGGACAGAAAGATTAAATTTTTAAAAGCCCCAAACAGGAGAGGTGGAGAGAGGGTAATGGTGGGAAAACTCACACCCAGCACAGCCAACAGCAGAGGGGAAATGGGAGAGAGATCACCAGGGAGCGAGGTGTGGACTCTGTGGCCTGAGGAACAAAGCTTTGTGGTTTAAAGTGCAACTAGACCACAAGTGAAAGAAACTAAGTTTCAGAACAAAACATTCGCCATTTGGCAAGGAAACCATTAGAGGCAATCCAAGATTGGAGGGGTCAACCAGTACTACTGTATGCACTCCTTCCATACATCTTGGTAAAGTTAAGAGCAGGATCTGGTGATCTTGTTGAAGCTAAGAGAATGATCCAGCAGTCCCACCTTCTTGCCCATTGTTGTCCACCAGCCCAGCCCCCATCAGTAGGACAAGAAGTTACCCAGCTCACAAAGAGGGTATAAAAGTCTGTAGACAGGTGCCACAAAGGCGGCTCCCCAGAGCAGGTGGGGAGTGCATGTGCCAGGCCTGACAGTGGGTCATAGGTGAGACCCAGCCTCAGAGAACACAGAGGCTGTTGGGCAATGGGGAGAAGTACACGCAGGGTGCCAGAGCCCAACCACCAGCAAACCAGCAGGAGTCAAGGTGGGAATTCCCCAGAGCACACTGGAACATGCACACACAGTGCCTGGTCCTGGCCACCAGTGGGAGAAGAGGGCACCAATGTGGGAATTCCCAGGAGTAACCCAGAGTGCACAGGAGCCCGGGAAATGTGCACATGCACAGTGCCTGATTACCACCACCAGCTGGGTTGTGGGCACCTATGTGGGAATACTTGGGAGCAGTCCATAACACTAGAGGGCCAAGAGGGAATGTGCAGAGCCTGACTCAACACAGCCAACAGGAACTGGTGGGCACCCAACGCAGGAATTCCCCAGAGTGGGGCACCCAATGCAGGAATTCCCCCAAGTGGCTCAGAGTGCATATGGGCATTCAAGTGAGGACGCACAGAGGATTCAGCAGGTGCTACTAGGAGTTACCAGGAGTGCACCATTGATCTGCTGTTGGCTCATCGCCCTCCCTCACCAGCACAGAACCCACAGGTCTCCACCCAGGAGCCCCTCCAAAACAATCTTGAGAAAGAACAAAGCTGGAAATATCAGGCACCTTGGTTTCAAGTTATACTACAAAGCTATAGTAATCAAAACAGTATGGTAAGTTGCACAAGAGCAGACCCATAGATCAGTGTAACAGAACAGAGGGCCCATAAATAAACCAACATATCTATGACCAATTAATAAATGACAAAGGAGCCATGAATATACAATGGGGAGAAAACAGTCTCTTCAATAAATGGTATTGGGGAAACTGGACAGCCATGTGAAAGAGAATGAAACTAGATCACTGTCTTACATCATACACAAAAGTAAACTCTAAATAGATTAAAGATCTAAATATAAGACAGGAAACCATAAAACTCTTAGAAGAGACCATAGGCAAGAATATTGTGAACATCAGCATGAGAAATTTCTTTATGGATATGTCTACCAGTGCAAGGGAAACAAAAGCAAAAATAAACAAGTAGGACTACGTTAAAGAAAGAAGCTTCTCTGCAGCAAAATTAACCCTCAACAAAACAAAAAGGCTACAGAATAGGAGAATATATTCACAAATGATATATCAGACAATGGGCTAATGTCCAAAATATATAAAGAACTCTTACAACTCAGCACCAAAAAAAACCCACCAAAACAAATTAATGACTTAATTAAAACATGTGCAGAGGACCTGAACCCTGAACAGACATTTTTCTAAAGAAGACAAACAGATGGACAATAGACACATGAAAAGATGCTCAACATCATTAATTGTTAGGGAAATAAAAATCAAAACTATGATGAGGCATCACCTCACACCAAACAGAATATTTACTATCCAAAAGATAAGAAATAACAAATGTGGAGAAAAGGAAGCCCTCCTACACTGTTAGTTGGAATGTAAATTGGTCCAACCACTTTGGAAAACAATATGGAGGTTCCTCAAAAAACTAAAAATAGAACTACCATATGACCCAACAATTTCACTTCTGGTAATTTACCTGATAAAACAAAATCACTAATTTGAAAAGATATATACACACCTAGGTTAAGTGCAGCATTATTTACCATAGCAAAGATATGGAAGCAACCCAAGTGCCCATCAACATATGAATGGCTAAAGAAGACATGGTACTTACATGCAATAGAATATTAGTTAGCCATAAGAAAGAAAATCTTGCCATTTGAGGCAACATGGATGGACCAAGGGAGTATCATGTTAAGTGAAATAAACCAGGCAGAGATAGACAAATACCTGAGGGGAAAATGGAAGTTCCTATGCCCAAGTTCCTATCTGAGCCTAAACTACTTGATGTAACTGGCCTACTGCTAGGCTGTTTCCACACCTGTTGGCCATGAGCTATTATTGACTGAGTCAGTGTGTAAAGAGCTCTGCTCAATTCTCTGGGTGGAGGCATAGACGGAGGTGGGTTACAGACCTGCAGACTGCTGGACACACATGTGATCTTAGTGCTCAACCTGCCGCCCTGAGAATAAAGTCAGGCATAAGCCCTTTCACCCCAAGCATGTTCTGTTGTCATTTCTCAGTCTCACCAAATCCATAGTGAACCAGCCTGGGGTTGAAACCCTCTGGTGAGACATACCGTATGATTTCACTCATATGTGGAACCTAAAGAACAAATAAGGAGAAATAGACCCATAAATATAGACAACAAACTGCTGATTACCATAGGGAAAGGGGTGGGAGAATGGGTGAAATAGATGAAAGGGTTAAAGGGGTACAAGTGGGTTCTTGCCAGTGGGTATTGGCCCCAGGCAAGTTCACTATGGATTCAGTGACACTGAGGAATGACAGTTGAATGTTCTTAGGGTAAAAGGGTTTATTACCCAGTTTGTTCTAGGTTGAGCACTAGAATTACATCTGCATACCACAGTCTGCAGGTCTGTGATCGTCCTTCCTCTCTGCCTGTGCACAGAGCACGGGGCAGAGCTCTTTATATAGTGACTCAGTCAGTAATAGCTTATTGCCTATGGGTGTGGGAGCAGTAGCCTAGCAGCAGGCCAGTGACATCATCAAGTAGTTTAGGGTCAGGGGAGGGTCCTGGCCATGGGAACTTCAATTTTTCCCACAAGTGGCAAATTGTAAAATAAGTTAGACATAGGAATGGAAGTATAACAGAAAATTTAACCAATAATATTGCACTATCTTGGTATAATAATGGAGTAACTACACCTATTGTGGTAATCATCTAGTAATGCATACAATTATTTAGTAACTATGTCGTACATCTAAAACCAACATAATATTGTATATCAACTTTATTGCATTAAAAAATAAATTAAAAAAATAATGACGAGGGAACTGCTTCCAGGGAGCAGAAATGGACCCTCCTTCGGGAACATTTTTGTACTGGTAGATATGAGCCTGGCTGGACTTCAGAACTGTAATGGACTGGTGGCTGCAATTTGCTTCCCTTTCGTTTTCTAAGTTTATGTGGCTCACATGACAAGAGATTTTAAGCCCCTTGCTGTGGGTGAAGACTGAAGATATGCATTCTTAATGTCTTTAAGAAGCACAAAGCCTCCCAACTCCTATTTGGTCTGAGTGTCTTCTACAGCTGAGTTAGTTCAGTAGAAGGATAATCTCACTATCCAACACACGTTGTTCCTGTTTCACTTGGCATCACATAAACAGATTTCATTTCCTCAAAAGCATTGTCCACACAAGGTATGTGTATATAAAGCAGACTTGTAACAAAGGGTTAACTGTGAGAGTGGGGTCATCTCAAATCTCCAACCTTTTTTCTTAAAAAGTTCCTTGACCATGTCTATCAGCTCAGAATCTAGCCTTCTGCCAAACTGTTTAGCCCTCTCGTCCCCTCTTCTCTCTTTCCTATCCTGTCCACTCCTTTGGAGAACAGTTCTGGGACTCCACTTGAATATCCAAAGGCTTTGCTAACCTGGAATCTCACACCCTTTTCTCTCTCACTGTCTGTAGCAGGAGAAGAAAGCCATAGAGAGATTTTTTCCTTTAATTATATGAATTACGCTGCCTTCGTGAGAAGGCAGAGGTAGTTACAGTTAATTTGGGCTCTATATTTTTTTCCTTTTCCATTACTTTTAGATAGCACTTAGTAAAAACAACAGTTTAGATAGTACTTTAAAGTTATATTGAGGGCTAAAGAAGAAATCACTAAGAAAGATAAGTTGCTGAGAATCCGAAGTTTCACTGCACATTAAATTTAGTACTACTTTAACCTCTTAAGATTATGATTATAAAGAAAATAATAAAATCTAAAATTAAGATAAATATCTGCTATTAAGGACAAAAATAGAATGGGGTGGACAAAGAAGCTGAGATTCTCCAAGATTGCCGCCACCCACAAGCAGCAGATAATTTCTTCACTGTGGCCATTGAATTCAGTAGCTCAAGAGCTAGATAAACACCAAAGTGAAATTTTTTTAAACCATTGGCTGGCATGCTTATTTTAATTATACAGTTTTAATTACAATATTTAAAGCTAGCTAGTTAGAGCTGTACAATTTAGGCATATTTGTTATTTTGACATGTTTGTATATATGTATATATAAAATGCATTGTGTCATATGGGCAAAATTTTGAAATATTGCCAAAACGGTTCTTGATATTTCAAAAACTAAGCACAAACTATAAAGGGAAGATTAATAGATCGAACTACATGGAAAATATAAACTTCGGCTCATCAGAAGACATGTTTTTTGAAAAGTGAAAAGTCAGTGTAAACTGGGAGAGAACTTTTCAACACATGTAACTCTCAGGGAATTAATTCAGGACATATATACACACGCACAGATCAGTATGAAGCAGACCGTCTCCTAGTTTCTTCCCACCCCCTAGTCAAGCAGCTCATGACCCAGTTTTCTGGATGGGGCAAGACAGAACTGGGCTTCTTTGGCAGCGTCCCGAACTGCTCGGGAAGCTGGTGCTCACTCACGTTCTCCCACTCTCCCCTGTAGTAGAAATCACAGGCAAGAAGGTCTCTCTTGGCACTGAGCTGTGCTGTCCTAGGGACTGGACTGTACATCGTGGGTACAAACTGTTCCCCTTACCTTCTCCAAGGAGTCCAAATGTTTGGGTTTTTTTCCTCCAATGTGTTCTGGAATTCTCCACTGGATTCCTGGACTCCCATGAAGGCTCTCTCCTCTGTGGGTGGTTGCCCAAATCAGTGCTCTTGCGGGGCTCCTGGACCACAGCGGAGAGGGGCTAGAGTTGGTTCACATGCCACTGCCGGGTACACAGGCCGGGACGGAGGTCTGTATCGGTGGGCAGGACTTGAGTCCCTTAGTCTATGATGCTGGAGCCCACATCCCACAAAGACACTTTTGTCCGTGGATGAATGCCAAATTGTTGCTGTTGCAGGGGGCATAATGTGAGGGATGTCTTATTCAGCCATTTTGCTGATGTTATCTCCCCATACTACTTTCCAACCATGCAATGAAGTCTAATATCTCCAATTCTATTTTATTTCATTTTTCAAATGTTGGTTAGGGTCACTACATTACTTTCATAACCCATTGATGGGTTGTGACCTACAGTGAGAAAAGCACTGTTTTAAATTCTGTATTTAGATAGCTGTACTTTGATTTATGACTTTATACTGTATCTATGAAAGGTGAAGATACTGCATACTTAAATATAAGTATCTCCTGTCTCCCAAATTCTACATCAATTTTGTTATTTTTATGTTGTCAGTGTTTATTATATTTTCACTCTGTTCTATAGTTCTAATTAAGTCTATAGACTAATTACAAAAATTAAGCTTAGTAAAAGAGTATTTTCAGTATGATCATTAATTATTGCAGGAATAAGGGGTGTGATTACACTCCCAGAAAAGGAAACTAAATTCTTCATCTCCAAATTACCAATCAGAGAAACGTGCACCAAATAACAATGCTCAAGTGAGCCTTTTTTTTCCCCAGTTTTCCCTGCTTCTTCCAAGACATACTCAGCTACCACTGAATATTCTGTTTCTGTTCTGATATGGTCTTCTTTCTTGAATTCCCTTTTCTGCTCTGTGCTGGTGGGCAGGGATATTAACCAGGAGCTTTGAGGGTGAGGGTGGTGGGTACAGTAAAGGCAGGCAAACTGGAAAAGTTGGCATTTGGCAAAGTTAGAGGATTTTCATTCTGGGGATGGAGTACCTTAGCAGTTTCTTTTTTTTCCATCCCTTATTCTGATGTAAACGTTTTTGGAGTTATCTTAAGCCCACTTGGCTTCTTGCGGTGAGCCCAGCTCTCACCCCCACATCCCCTCTCCAGGCAGGTTGTCTTTCTATGAGGAGCAGTCCTCTAGCCTTGGTTTTCTGCTAGCTTGTGTGCTCTGTATACATGGGGATACCAGGAGGCTGTGGAGCCCCAGTGACCTGCTGCTGGGAATGGGGCTCTTTCTTCAAGCCTGCTAGTGACCAACCCACAGCCCACACTCGCAGCCCACTCTCACTTTTGTTATTGGTTAATTCTGAGTTTGGGGCTTTGACCATCCTAGTTGGGATTTGTGCACGGGAAAGAAACCTTATAATTACATGTTTTAATCCATAATGTATTATTATAGTTACAAACATAAAAATGTTATTTTCCTTAAACATTTAAGCTTAATAACTTACAGCTTTATTTCCTTGTAAATTTCATAATTTTAATCAAAATAAAAAAAGAATCATCTTATTTAATCAAAATAAGAACAAAAAAAGAATCATTTTTACTTGTCTCTATTGAGTTAACTCATACACGGAACATATTTAATCAGATTCCCTTGGCTATTTCAAAGTACAATTCTCATACAGTTCACTTTTGAACATTTCAAACACACCAAGGGAGGGTGACAAATATAAGAAACAAAGATTTCTTAAGCATTTAAACCACTCTTGTCAACCTATTGAATCAGCCTTATAAATTGTGTAGATAAAGCCCTTTTAAGCCTTTCAAAAATCATTTAAAAAATGAGTAGAGTATGTACAGAACATCATAATGGTTGTATCTAAACATAAGAGGACACTGGGTTTTAGGGATTATAAATTATTCATCCAACTAAGGAGGACATCAAGCATGACAGACTGACTGATGTTCCAAGGTCAAAAGCTCAGGACAGTGGCCTCAGCTGGAAGAGAATACCCTGGGGACCCATGGGCCTCAGGACCCCTTCTGCTCAGGGCTGGACATCTCATAGGCAGGGGCTTTTGTCTGCCATGGCATCTTCAGTTTTCAAATTTATGACTTTCAACTGGGATTTGACCAATTGTATCAATTAGTCCATTAGGATTAAGCAATTTAAACTTCTGATTATCCGTTGATTAAAAAAAAATGACCTGGTTTTGAATTAATGAGTCCTTTCCAGGTCTTGGTTTTAAATTTCATTTTCTGAAACTATTATGTAAATTCCTGCACTAAAGCTAAGAATATTCTAATGGGATTTGGAGCCATATATTCAGCTGTAACCTGTTAAAACATCTTTCTTCCAAGCAGAACAGCTATTAGGACACCTTATTTCTATGCCATATGAGTGAATCATTCTATTTCTTTTTTTTATTCATTAAGATTGTCTAATTTTAATATGTCAAAATTTCATATTCATCTATGCCTAAATCTCCTGAAAATTTCTAATTTAATCACATGTGGCTAAAAGAAAAATTACAAAATATCCAAGCTTAGTTTCTGTTATTAATTTTCTGGTAGCCTTTCTGGGATTATTAGCCCATGGAAGCTGATTTCAGATTCCCATCTCAGTTTCCTGCTGTCCATTTTAACCTTGCAACTTATCTTTTTACCTCTGAAATGTCTACATTTAAAAAAATTCTCATTTACATCTCTAGCAGCTACCATAATGCCTGGCAAATGGTATATACATTCAACAGTTATTAATTGAATGGAAGGGATGATTTAAAACATCATTTATCACCTTTAGTCACTTGTACCTCAGTCATTGTCTTGCCTGCGCGGGATTGCCCCCAGGCAAGTTCACTCTAGATTCTGTAAGACCGAATAACAACAACGGAACTTTAGGGGTTGAAAGGGTTTATACCTGGCTTTTTTCTCACGGTGGTAGGTAGGTCAAGCACTAGCATCATGTCTGCATCCAGCAGTCTGCAGGTTCATAACCTGCCTGTGCCTTTGCCTCCGCCCAGAGCGCTGAGTGGGGCTCTTTATATATTGATTCAGTCAATAATAGCTCATTGACAACAGTGTGGAAGCTTTAGCTTAATAGTAGGCCAATTACACGATCAAGTAGTTTAGGGTCAGGTGACGATCCTGGCCATAGGAATTTTCACTTTTCCCATAGTCACCCAAATTACTTAGGAGGAATTTATTATTATTATTTAGGAGGGTTTAACATATATGACAAGGTAGGCTAAAAATAACCCACAATAAATGTTCCTTTAACTGCCTTTCCAGTTCTCTTCCAATTGCTGATGATTAACAGAACAGAATCTTATCAAAATCCTGCAATGTGCATTTTGTTGCAAGAAGCAAACATTATAACAATGGGTTTTTAATTACCAAGTGTCTTGCCAATGGGTTTCAGCTCCAGGCAAGTTTGCTATGGATTCAATGTGACCAAACAAATGACAGTAGAACGTTCTTGGGGTGGAAGGGTTATACCCAACTTTATTTCCAAGGTGACAGGTCAATTACTAGAATCCCATCCACTCATAGCGAGTCTGCATGCAGCAAGCTGGTCTCTGTCTCTGGACCTCTCTGCCCCCGCAGCCATCTCAGTCTCTGTCCTCGGTGCTGCCACCACTCCAGTCCCATCTCTGCTCTCTTGCAGCCTTGTAGCTGTGCCACTATGTCACCCAGAGTGCTGGGCAGAGAGCTCTTTATATAGAGTCAATAATGATGTATTGCCCACATGTGTGTAGTAAGCTAGCCAACCAGGGCCAGGTGAGAATCCTGGCCACAGGAACCTTCACTTTATCCAAGTTATTTGTGTCACTGACCCATTCCTGCCCCTGCCTGCTGCCACTTCTTGATTAGTCTGATGATGCCAGCCATGGCTCTGGGTCAAAAGTGAAAAACGCCAGATGGTATCTGTCTTGCCAATGGGTTTCAGCCCCAGGCAAGTTTACTATGGATTTAATGTGACCAAAGAAATTGACAGCAAAACGTTCTTTGGGGTGAAAGGGTTTATTACCCGACTTGTTCTCCTGGCGGTAGGTCGAGCACTAGCGTCTCTGCCTCCACCCAGAGCACTGGGCCAGCTCTCTGTATAGCATAATAATAGCTTATTGCCTAAAGGTGTGGAAGTGGTAGCCTAGCAACAAGCCAGTTACATCACCAGGTGGTTTAAGTTCAGTGAGGATCCTGGCCATAGGAACCCCAACTTCCCCACAGCATCATATCTGCTTAGGGATATAAGAAAACCAATGAAGCTCATTTGATGAAGGAAGTAGATTGTATTACATTAAATTGCTGGATGTGAAAGCCAGAGTCTGGATAAATTTCAATAATTTATCTATAGACTTTGAGGAGAAATAAGACAAATCTTTAAGAAATAATTAACACTTGTAAAGAAAAAGGTAATGTGTAGTGATGAATATTAAGACATTTTATGGCAACAATTGCAGGCTGCTTACCCAGTATCTTCTCTCCCTTTCTTCCTTAGTAACTATGGGGAAAACTGAAGTTTCTGTGGCCAGGATCCTCACCTGAACCTAAACTACTGATGATGTAACTGGCCCCACTGAAAGGCTAATACTTCCACATCCATAGGCCATAAGCTATTATTGACTTAGTCACTATATAGAGAGCTCTGCCTAGCACTCTGGGCAGAGGCAGAGAAAAAGGAGGATTATGCACCTGCTGACTGTTGGATGCAGATGTAATTCTATTGCTTGACCTATTGACGGGAGAACAAGCTGGGTAATAAACTCTTTTACCCCAAGAACGTTCCATTGTCATTCCTCAGTCTCACTGAATCCATAGTGAACTTGCCTAGGGCTGAAACCCACTGGCAAGACAGTTATATAACTCAGATTTTGTTCAGAGTGACAGTGTGCCAAGATAAACAACTTTATTTCCCAGCCTCCCTTGCAGTTAAGGCAGTATTTAGTGAAATTTAAGTAGAAGTCTTTGGTTGGTGTTTTCTGAAACTCTATTAAAAGTGGGTGCTGACTTGGATGAGAGAAGAGCCTATTTGTCGCTTCTATTCTCTTTCCTTTTCCATTCTAAAATGCAGACATGCTGGCTGGAGTGCTGTTAGCCATCTTGTGACCAACCCCAGACTGGCAGAATAATGACTTTTTT